AAAAATAGAACTTAAATAAGAAATAAAAAGAAGCATAAAATAAATATTTTCAATAATAATATTTTTATTTTCGTTTATTTAAAATTATTAAGTAAATAATTTTTTATTTTATTTATAAATAAAATATATAAAAATTAATTTATTTTAATTTTAAATATAAAAATAATATTTATTTTTTCTATATATATAAAATAGTCATTTTAAAATAATAATTAGAAAAGTTTAATTTTAAAACTAACTGATAATATTTTATGTTTACTTAAAAAATTCTTGAGAGTAAATAACGAAGAAATATAAAACTTTTAATATGAATAAATAGTAGAATAAATATAGAAGAATAATTTTTTAAATAAATTAAAAAATTAAGATATTTAAATAATAGAATAATAAGAAAATAAAAAATAATATAATAAAATTATTAACATAAGCAATGAAATGTAATAAATTTAAAAAAAAAAAAACATAAATAATAATAAATATAAATATATATATATATATATATATATATATATATATATATATATATATATATATATATATAGAATTTTTGCTGAAAATATAATAAAAGAATAAATGATAAAAATTTTTACACAATAATTATTAAAAAATGAAGAATTCATATACTAATTAAAAAATTTAATCAAATATTTAATAAATTAAAATTAATTTTAAATAAAAACTTAACAATTCGCTTTTTTTTTATCAGATATATTAAGTAAAAATATTAATAATATATATATATATATATTTTTATATTTATTTTTTTAAATAGAATAATATTAAATAACCACTAAATATTACATTTTAAATGAATTGATCTAAAAAATAATCTTTGATATTATTTAATATCCAATATTAGAAAATTTAAATATATTAATTAGTATATTATAGGACTAATAAATATAAGAATAATTAACTGCATATTAAAAAGTAAAAACAATAAAATAAAATATAATTTATTTTATAAAAAATAGTTATCTATATTTTATAATTTACTTAATAATTTTACAATTGTTTAAATAGATAAAAACGAAATTTCCTTTTTGATTTTTATTAATAAAATTTAAAATATTTTGGAAATATTAAGTATAAATTTAAAAATAGAAAATATTTAAAAAGATAATGAAAATTACGATTTTTTAAAGAATTTACTCGAAGTCTCATTTGAGTTTATGAATAATATGAGTAGAATATAATAAAATTAATGTATAAAATAAAAAGCTAGCATAAAATATGAAAATAATAATAATAATGAAAATTAAGTTAATAAAGTAAATGAAAGAAGTCTGACAAAAAAGTCTATATAAAGATTAGAAATAGAGCCTAAAAAATAATAAATTTAATAAAAAAAATTAAAAGAAGAAGACGAAATTATTAAATAATTTAATATTACTGAAAAAATATTTAAATTTCTATTTATAATATACGTAATATATATAGTATTTTTTTATTATATATTTATTTATATATATAAATAAAAGAAATAAATAATAAAAGTCGATTTCTTAAGTAAAATAATTTTGTGCTTCAAATATGAAACTTTGTTAAAGGTCTTCAATTACATAATATAATTTAATTAAAATAATGATTAAAAAACGGCTATTTCTTTGACAAATATAATTCTTTTATTTATAAATGAAAATAGTATATTATCAGATTAATTTATAAACTAATTCAATTAAAACATATAAGAAAATCTATTTAATTTATAATAATAACCATAATAACCATTATAACCATAATAACTATTATAATAAAATATGCCTAATTAATACATAATAAGTATCTATTTGAAGGTTTTTTTGAATTCATTGAATAAAAAAGAGACTTAATTCTAAAAAATAAGCGATATTATTTTTAGTTTTTTTTTAAAAATAATAATGATTTAGAGTTTAAAAATTATCATTTTTTATTTCTTTTTTTGATAGTTTTTTTAAATTAAGATAAAAAATAAATCTAATAATTTTTAATTGAAAACTTTTAAAAAATTTAAACTGGAAAAACTCGCGATTAAAAAATTGTTATTTTTTCCTTAATATTTTATGCTAATTATATAGATAGTCTAAATTATTCAGTTTTTTAATCGAAAATTAATTAAATTCTAATTTCGCTTCTTTCAAATAAAAAATACTGAAAATATTTCTAAAATTAATTAAAAACTTGATTTTCATTCTTTTTTTCTCTCGAAAATCCCAAAAATAATATCGTTCTAAAAAAAAATCACGATTAATAAATTCCTTTAGATTTTTTTAAAATACTATTATCAGAATTAAACTAGATTAGGTCAAGTTTCTCAGTTTAAAGTTAGAATTTAGACGTCTTTTATGCTCTTTTGGTTGAATTTAATCTCTTAATTATTAATTTGGATCCTTTTTTCCCAAAAGGGGAACTTTTGTAGATTTTCGAAGATGTTTAGGAGATAAATTAGAGTAAAAACAATGTATTTTTGATTGAGAAAATAGAAAAAGATCTCAAAGAAGTGTAAGTTTTGGCTATATTTTAAAAGCTATAGACAGAGGTTAAATTGATTGAAAATCTTGAGAAGGATAAAATATTGAATTTATTAAAAAGGACAATTTAAATATAAAAAATGAATGAAATAAAGTTAAATGAAATTTTAATGGAAATATTGAAAAAAAAAGTTGAAAAAAATGAAGAATTTTGGTGTTTTTTTTTTAAAATATGGACTTTTTTGGAAAAGATTTAAACGAGAAAAATTCAGTTTATATTTTTTTAATGAAAATTCAAGAAAAAATAAACGAAAAAATTTGTATTTTTTAAAAAGATTTTTTTTCTAAAAAGTAAAATTTTATTTAAAATTTGAAATTTTTAACTTTTTTTGAAAATTTGTCAGCTTTTTTAGAAAAAAATTAACTTTTTAATAATTTTTTGTTGATTTTTTCAACTTTTTAAGAAACGAGAAAATTCCTTAATTTTTAACTTGATTTTTTACACTAAAAAAAAAACAAAGAAATTTTTTAAGAAAATAAAAGTCTTTTTTTTTATCTTATTCCCCATATAATTTAACCATAGACTTAATACGAGGAAAAATACGTCATTTTATGTCCCGAAAATGATGAGGAAAGGAAAAAAAATTCCTTTAAAATGATAAAATAAGGACTTCTTTTCACCAAAAGCCTTTAATTGTTAAAACTAGGTATTTTTTAAGAATAATAAGACAATTAAGTATTAGAATTAATAAATAATATAATCGAAAAACATATAATAAAATAAATAAAAAGCGATTCTTTATATATTTTCTTTATAGTGATTCTTAGTATTTCTAAATTAAATGATTTTTAATAATAATAACAAGAAAATAATATTTTTGATATAATGTTATCTATTTTTATTAATAAAAAAATAGACTAAGAAACATATAAGAAATAATAATATATTATTAGAATTACTATTAAATCTCCCTAAAAGTAACTAATAATAAACCTCTTGGTTTTATTTGAGAGAAATGATAAGAATATCTTTAAAATAATAAGAAAATAATTAATTAATAGAAACTACTATTTAATAATATTTACCTAATATAGATACAAATAAACTAAAAGATTAATTCATAAATTCTTTTATATTTACATTAAATAAAAATATACAAAAATTCTAAAATTTTATCAATTCATGTTAAATATAAGACCAATAATCTCAAAAACAGTTAAATTTCCTCGATTAATCTTTTTCAGAGCTCATGTTATTACTCTAAGAAATCGTATAGACTTTAAAATATACAAACAACCCAAAAACATCTAATTAATTATTAAAAATAACCTGTTAAATAATCTAAAGACTAATCCAATTCCATTTAACTATTAACAATGAAAAAACCGAAAACTTTAATTTTATTTGTTAAAGAATACTCCAATTAGGTAATTTTATACTATCTAATTATACTTATAATCCCGAAAATAATGAAAACGAAGATTATTCAATGCATTTAATATAGGACATATTAACTTTCTTAAAAGTAAAGAAATCATAATTAGACCCTTAAACCGAAGCCGATTTATTCCTTTTAATATTCCTGAATTTAAAGGAAAAGCTTCGCGAAAAAAAAGACTGATGCCCTCCCTCATTTATTATAAAAATAACAATAAGAAAAAACCCGAAAATAAATTCGAAAAAACAACCAATATTGAGCAAGAAAGCTAAACTAGGGAATAAATACTTGAAAAGTTTAACTAAATACCCAAAGAAATCCAAGACCTATAATGTACTTTAATAAAATATAACCAAATATCAGTATCTTAAGTTTTCTATAAATGCCATACATGTGGTATTGCTCATAGTAATAATGTCATATGTACTTGGTGTGCATATGTTTGTCATAATAAACATGATGTTTATTATTAAGAATAATCTATGGGAACATGTGATTGTGTAGAAAGAGGAGGCAATTGTAAAGGAAATCCTAATAATATATAGAATATTTAAAAGAAAGAAGTCCTTTTAAAGATAAATTGTTTCAATTCGAATAAATTTTTAGTCAGGATAATTAAGATATGCCAGCTGAATTAATAAATCTCTATTTAAAAACACGAGAAAGGGAGTAGATTTTTAGAGGGGGAGTCCCGGTTAGTTTAGGTATTGATGAAGAAGAAAGATATGAGAAGATGAATGAATTTGGGGAAGAAATGAATGAGATAGAAATAGAAGACAAATTCGATGAAGAAGATGATGATATATAATATGATGATGGGGAAGAAGAAATTATAAACGAAAACTTAATTTTGGGAAATTCTCAAATTTAAGAATAATAAGAAGAATTTAAAAATAATTTTAATTATAAAAAAAAAGACTCGTAGTTAATAATTAATAATAATAAATAAATGTTCGAAAATTCAGAAGAAGAATCAAATTTAAGTTTAGATAATTCAATTGAAAATTCATAAAAAAAAACTAAAAAATCACCCACTTTAGAAAAAGAACCTATTTTTGAAGAATTACCATCAACTAATATATAATAATAGTAATAAAAAATACCAAAAAAACACTAACAAAACGAAGAAAAATCATAAAAATTACTATTCCAAATTTTAAAAGAGTCCAAAAGTGATTTAATTTACTAATTTTTAAATTCCTCTGAAAAAACAATTGCTTAAATTTCCCAAAACTGGTCTAAAATTTCTCACCCGGATCATTCTCCAAAAAGCCTTGAAAATTAAAACATTTTAATTAATTTTTAATATATAGAAAATGACCTTAAATTAATTTTATAAAACACTCAATTATCTAAACTAGTCCAAAAAATATAAAAGCCCTCTTTTTTAGAAATGAAAATACGAGAAGATCTCTCTTCTTAGGAAAAAAACTTCTTTTTTCTCTAAAGTATATAACCCACAGCCCCTATGATTATAAGAAAAGCAATAGACTTTAATTCCGAAAATACTATATGTATATCTTCTGGTAGTAAAATAATGCTTATAGACAGAAATAAACTAATGACCAGGGTTTAAGAAAACTCAAAAAAAAATACACTAGATGATCTACTAAATAAATTCCTAGACTTGGAAATTTTACATTAATATTAATTAGAATTTTCCATACTTTAGGTCAAATTTTCATCTAAAAATCCCTTTATATTAGCCGTATGTGGACTTACCCAAATAGTGTTTTTTAAATTAAACTAAGAATCTAAATCTATAAAAACTTTCTCAATTTAATAAAAAAGCTACCCTGAATATATTAATAAATTTATCTGGTTACCTAATAGTGAATAATACTTCATGATAATGCATTTAAAATGTATTAAATTATATTAAATCAGTATAGAAACCGGATAAAGTACACTCATAATGAAATTTAATGCAAACGATTAAAGTGGAATTTTTAAAGATTGTATAATAATATAAAATGAAAACAATACTAAAAGTAAATATATATATGTATATATTTTATAATGATATATTTTTTTTTCTTCTATATATAGATTATGTATTATTAGTTCCTTGTGCAGATGGACGTGTTTATTATTAAAAATTTAATACATAATAAAAAGACGATATAACATTTTTAACACATATAAATATTCCAAATGAATATGTTCCTAAAAATTAAATATGTATGGGTTTAAGTTATTCATAAAAAACCTAAATGTTTACCCTATCATATAAAAATGGTATAAATATTATAGGGAAACTAGACTTAAAATCTTATAAACTGACCAAAGTAATAACTTTAAAACCTTCATAGAGCTAAAATACTACAAATATATAACATATTTAATAATTAATTGAGAAAAATGAAGTAATGACAAATACTAGTGAAATAAATGCAGATGATAACTCTTGTGTATATTTAACTTGTTTAAAAGATGAAAAAACACTGAATAATTATTCGGTTCATTCTGGTTTTTTACACTGTGTGAGAATCCTTAAAAATGAAATCATTATATAACCTTTATCTGTTAATATTAATAAACCGGGAGAAGATAAAAAGTGCGAAGGGTATACTGTATTTCCATATAGAGGGATTCCTAATGTAAATTTTGTACTTTCTGTACATGAAGATGGTTCTATCAATTTATTTTATGTCCATAATAATTTAAATAGTGAAAGTCTTGATATTTTTAAGCTTTTTAAAGAAAATGCGATTTAAGAATAATTAATTTAATAATAATAATAGTAATTATAGTAATAATAATAATTAAACTAATAATAAAAAAATAGTTAATGCATTTTCGATAATCCAAATGGTCCTTATAAAATCTTAAAAGACGAACTTAAAATAACCGATATGACTAAAAATCCATATGTAATAGTTAATTTTGTAGAAAAATATTAATCTTTAAAATAAGAGGCAGATTTTCATATAGATTATAATAATATTCCATTTGATTAATTACTTAAAAATACAGATACTAATTAAGTATTAATATCTAAAAATGAAACCATGAATGTAATAATGGATATACATATAAATAAATATATTTAATTATATATATATATATATTCATATATTTTTAATTACATTTATATATATATATATAATTCAAAGTTTAAATTAAGATGCATGAATAGATAATTTATTATGGTTGGTGTAAGAATAAGAATGTAAATGGCTCCTAATACTTCGGCAGGAATATTTAAAATTAAAATATACAATCGAGAAATTAAAATATAAAACAACACTGAAAATGATAAAAAAACAGTCGATTTATCATTATCTAATACCGAAATAATATTTTCTTATTTATAAAATAATTTATAATTTACAATATAATCAACTGGCATATAATGTATATATTTTTTTAAAAAACATTTATATATATATATATTTAATTTTTTTATAAATCAATAAGTTTTATAAAACAAACCTATACCACATCATGATATAAAATTAATAAGTATGGAAATATATGGAACAACAATCATTTAATATGAATTAAAAGAAAAATTGGATTTATTGAAATCAGCATTATGTTTATCCCCTTAAAACACTTAAATTTAAATTTAATAAAATACTTAAAAACTTGAGAATTAAAAAGAAGAAAATAATCAAATTTTATAAAATTTATTAGATACAGAAAATATATAAAGTATAGATTTTTCAAAAAGGTAGGAAATCATTAATTCACAAATAGAAGAAAAAGAAGTCCGAAATTTACTAAATTAGTTGGATGTTTTAACTCTCTAATTATAGTGTTTAATTGCAAACTGGAACGAAAGTTAATTGCTTTTTAAGGATAAAAACTTCTTTTCAGAAACTAGACTTAAGTAAATGGCCGAAAACCTTAAAATTATACTATTAGAGCCCAAAATTAACCTAAATAAAAATAATTAAATTCTACTTTCGGCTGTAAAAAGGGCACTTAAAGCTATTTTAAAGACATATAATATGCTTTAAGGGTAAAATATAATACCCACACACCCTTTGGAATATAGTACTTTTAAAATACTAGCATATACAGAAAATATAATGAATTTATTAAGTGAGAACACATGTACATTAGATGAAATGAACATTTTTGTGTAAAAGATAGACAAAATATCATTTAAAAAGATGCATTTAATTTACATGATATTCGCCTTATATCCTAGTTTGATAAGTGAAATAATAAAAAGCTTTTTCGAATTAATAAAAGGAGATTATGAACTAAAAATATGTTAAAATATAATCAGTTTAATATTAAAAATAATAACATTTTATTATTAATTTATTCAGAATTAAAAAAAAGAGACTAATTAATTAAATAATTAATCATTTTTAATACTAGAATAATTTTTGAGTGGTATTTTAAGTTCCAAATTAAAAGATTAAATAGGAAATCCTTTAGGGGTTTTTTAAAATTTCTTAAAAAATATTAATAATGAAAAAAATAGCGAAAAAAAAATAGAATTTGCATTCGATATCTTTAATTATTCCCAAAATCAAAAAAAAGAACTTAGTTTAGAAATATAGCCTTTAAAATAAAAAACTTCAGATATTAATAATAATATAGACTAAGTCGAAGAAGAAAATATTAATAATCTTTTTATGAATTATAATAACTTTAATGAATTCTAAGATAATATGTACTTTTAAGTCATGGATTAATTAAATGAAGAAGATATGATGAAATTAGCTATAGAAATGAGTCTTTAAGAAAAAAATTAATTAAAGGAGGAAAATATTTAATAATAATAATAAGAAAATATACCATAATAAGAAAACCTATAATAATAATAATAAGAAAACATATAATAATAATAAGAAAGTATATAATAATAATAAGAAAGTATATAATAATAAGAAGAAAACATATAGTAATAAAAAGAAAACATATAATAATAAGAAGAAAACAAATAATAGTAATAATAATAATAATAAAGCATATAATAAAAATAATAAGAAGACAAATAATATTAATAAAAATAATAAGAAAACAAATAATAGTAATAATAAAAAGAAAACATATATTAATAATAATAATAAGAAGAAGAAGAAGAAAAAAGTCAAGAAAATTCTTTAAAAGCAATAGAAGAAATACATGAAAATCAATAAGTATAAAAAAGCCCATAAAAAAGGCACGAAAACTAAATATAAATAAATTACAAAACTATTTAATTCCAAAAGTTTAATATTCTAGAAGATTTCTTATAATTCTTACTCAAAAAGCTTCTTTAATCAAACAAACAGCCTATTCCAAACGAACTTTTATTCATATATCTCTAATTTATAGTATTTTTCTTTAAAATACCTTCTTGTTAAAACCCTTAATTAACCCAAGAACTCATAAACACATTTTTCACCTTAATATAGTAAATAAATATCGAGAACCTAACCAATATACAATACATAGAGGAAACCAAAGTAATACTATTATCCACTAATGTGCTTTGCGAATTAATAAAAACCTACAAAGAGACAAAAGAAGAATCAGAACAAGAAAAAAAACGAAAAATATTTTACGAATAATTTAAATAATTACGAGAGGAAATAAAAAAGCAAGCATAAATTTTCTAACAGAAAAACGAGATTAACATCGGTGAAAAACTATTGGATATATTTAATTAAATTTTCGAATTTTTCAAAGATGGTAAAAGCCCTTCTTTAAAAATAGAATATATAAAAGGAGAAATAATTTCAGTAAACTCGAAAATTTCCCTTTAAGAAACTCTCTAAACCGCCTTTAAAAATTCCGAAGAATTTACCCAAAAATAATCCCAAATCATATAAATTGCAGACTAAATCTTCTTATCCAATTTAATTAGTTTCGCATTCCATTACTTCTCACTAGATAAAAACTAAGAAATCAAAAATCACGAAAGCTGGTGTATTTTATTAAGCGAAATGCTAGTTTCTCCTATTATTTCTAATATATATTCTTCTAGAATAAAAAGACTACTTTAATTATTAATGAAAACATAAACTAATTATTATGATATTAGGGATAAAATAGCATTACATAAAAAATATGATATTCTTTAAAGATTATATAAAACTTCAAATTAATTCCAAAATCTAGTATATGATTAGCTATTAGTATTAACTTAGGTAATTTCAAAAATGATAAAAATTGCGTAAGAAAGAAGACTAAATTGGTTGAAGTTTTGTAATAATAAATAAGATGTATTAAGTATATTGTATGCAAATATATTTAATAATGTTAAAGGATGTATAGAACCATCTATTAAACTTATTTCATATTACTATAGTTAGGATTTAGTAATAAAAAGAAATTGATTTTTATTATATTATTTATTATATATGTTATTATTATAATTTTTTTTTTTTTAAAAAAAAATGAAATATATTCAAAAAATGAATGTGATAATTATTTTATAAATAATTAAATAAAAAATTAAAAAAAAACATCAAAATATATATATAAAATTTATAAATATAAATAAATTTAAAAAAATAAATTATTAATTAAATAAA